ACTGGGAAAATTAGGAAAAGAACCACAAATGACGTACACACTTACGGCATCACTAGAGCTTGAGCTGCTACACTAGCGTACCGGAGATCTGACAATGGCCAAAAACAAAGAGGACAGGAGATCAGGAATGAATTTCGCATAGCGACCAAAAACAAACAAACAAACAAAAAAAAACCGTTAATGCTAAAAACAAAACAAAACCAGTTACCACTAATCCTAAGAAATAAATATTGTGAATGATGAAAAAGTAAACAGAGAGAATAAAGTTTATGTAGACAAACAAAAGGAACTTCCACATTTCTCAAAAGGCCTTTAACTTGAACCTCTGCAGAAACAGCTGATTCCTCAGCAGTATCATGAAAATGATACTGTTAATGTTGATGCAGTTGGTACAGTTAATGTTAATCAAACTATAAAGTTAATGGTTCAGTTGTAAAACAACACTGGTGATGCATCAAATTCCCCCCTCCTCAAAGACCAATAATTAAGTGTTTTATTTTAAAAAATAAATTCTAAGGCAAATGGAAGGCAGGAGATAATTTAAAAAATTAGAATAGAAATCAATGATCTAGAGAAAATAAGAAAACAATGAAAAGGGTCAATGAAACCAGGAGTTGGTTCTTGAAAGAGGAAACCACTCTCCAGGAAATTGAAGGCAATAGAATCTTCAAAAGCAAAGTGACCACAGTGACAAAACAAAAACAAAAACAAAACAAGTAAAACTGCATCAAATTAAAAATCTTGTGAGCCACACCCACCTCCTCCAGCCACTGCCATGTTGCCTCACCTACTGTCCCTACTCTACCAATTCCCAACTAAATCTTAGAGGAGATAGATGTCAAGTAGCTAATATTCCTCTTTCCAGATGCTCAGCCGAGCCTCACACATGAGTGAAATCCCATAGAACCCAGGTAATGTGGAACTTTGTGACCTTGGACTCTGTGCCCAGTGGGACCCGGGAACAGAGATCCTCTGCCTGCTTCCCCCAGGGGTCACACCTGTAAGCCACTCCCAATCTCCTTATCAGCTACCCTCCAGAACTCATGACTGTTTCTCCTGGAATGCCTCTGGACTCCGTGCCAGACTGTTTTCACTCGGAGCACCCCTGAGGGGGGCGGGTGAGAGCCCTCCCTGCCCCAAGGGACCCAACCCCAGCTGATGACCTCCACTACCCAACTGCTGCCAGGCTCCAGGCTGCTTTACAGACTGCATAGACACAAAGCCGCCTCACGACACATCATAAGACACTTCCTATCCATTTTCCATAATTATCACACCATGTTTGATGGGGTTCAGATAGTAGGCAACAAATCATAGATCTATCTATCTATCTATCTATCTATCTATCTATCTATCTATCTATCTATCTATCTATGCCTCTTGGAGAGCCCAGCAAGCTACTGAGAGTATCCCGCCCACACAGGCAGAGCCTGGCAAGCTCCCTGTGGCATATTCGATATGCCAAAAACAATAACTATAACAGGTCTCATTCCCCTGACCCTGAAAGAGCCTTCCAATCATTGAGAAAGATGAGTAAGGAGAGGCTGCTAAAATCTCAGGGCCGAGACAAATAGAGGTGTTACTGGTGCCCACTCGAGTAAATCAATGAACAACGGGATGACAAGGATACAGTGATACAGCTAATATTCATTGAAACACCATCACCTGTGTCTAAAAACTCCCTGACGCCCTACCAAGAAAGGTGGTCCAAGAACCCGTCCTGCTGAAGCCCTGGCAGCCACACCCACACCCACTGCTGCAATCATGTCAAGAGCTCAACTCCACCACTTCACAAATATTCTCTACAGATATGCCAAACTGCGAATAATTTCAGGTACTCAGCCACCCAGGTTGAGATCTCTGGTGTCTTCTTGAGGTCAGGGTGGGTAACCTCCCAGCAATGCCCCCTATACTTCCAGAGGGTGGTATCATGCCACTTTCCCACACAGTCCTGCCAAGTCAACTCATTGACTCAGGCCATAGATCCTCAAGTTTCTGGACCACGTGACACCTCCTAATTTCTCAATAGTGAAATTTCAGTAGGAACACATCAAATTAGATGGGAAAGTAACATAGAAGCCAACCAAACTCAACAAGTAAGAACAATAATCAAAATGTTCAACTAGCAACAAACAACTTAATAAATTCTTAGACAAGAACTTAACCCTGTGATCAGATATAACAATTTTCATGTTAAAAAAATTTACACTAGGGTATGGTGCTGTCAACAGGTCAACCTGTACCTGCAGGTGAGTGCATCAGCAGCCTGATGGTGCCTTCAGACTTCCTGATACCCCCAAATTGCCTCTGTGTCTTTAGCTAGATTCCAACAACTTGGACCAAGTTTACCAAGAAATTAAATGGCCAAAAGTTAAGTATGTGGGAGCCATATCCACAAACCAGCTCCAGCTCAGCTATACAAGCTTATTTGTTGGCCTTATTTTAGAGACCCACAGATAAATCTCGAAGGAGATCAAAAGTCACAGTTAATCTCAGACACACACATGGCTGAACAGACTGGGATAAATTGGGGGGGGGGTGCTGTTGGCCTATTGACCTGCCCAAGCAGAGCCCCCAGGGAGCTGCTTGCTTCCACAATTCAAAATCATTGCCATATCCCTGGCCTGACTCCACTGTCTCAGGAAAGATCTCACCAAGATATAACCTGCTGAAAATTCTGGTATGTGGATTTTGTGACTGAAATCTCCAGACTTTCTAAGGGTTGTAATGGGCTTCCTTCCCCCTCAACTTCTCAGTACTCATGGAAGCACTGGCAGTCCACCCCCACGAACCAACTCCAGCACCACCCTGCAAGGTCTACTACCAGCCTTGCTTCAGAGACACATAAATAAATCTCAAAAGAGATCAAAACCAGTAGTTAATCTCTGACACACGGATGGCTGAACAGACTGGGGTAAATCGGAGGGGGACAGGTTGGCCTGTGCCCACCCAAACAGAGCCCCCAGTAGTCACTTGTTTCCACAATCCAAAATCGCTGCCATATCCCTAGACTGACTCCATCTGAGAACAGATCTCACCAAGATATAATCTACTGAAATTTTTGGTATGTGGGTTTTGTGACTGACATCTCCAGGCTTTCTTGGGTTCGGGATGGGCTACCTTCCCCCACCTCCCCGTACTTCCAGAAGCCTCAACAGTCACATCCACACCCCAAAGCTTCCACCTAATTGAAAAATGACTCCAGCCTTACCGTCCCAATAAAAATACTGAATTTCCTGAACATATACCATGGCCTCTTAGCACCTGTATTGCAAATCATAATGCATAAAAGAAAAAGGAGAGAGAGCGCAAGAAGGAAACTGCCTCCCACAGAGGGATGTTAGGGGTAGGGGGCGGGGGGCTAGGGGATGGTGGTGGGAAATGTACACTGGTGGAAGTATGGGTGCTGGATCATTGTATGATTGAAACCCAGTTAGAGACAGCTTTGTAATGATCTATCTCACATATATCCAATTAAAACAATTTTTAAAAGAGTAATGTAGAGTTCATGCCCAATTCAATCAGCTTAATCAATGACTGAATAAATAGCAGTACTCCTATATTTAAAAAAATTACACTAAAAGAAGTATCTTCTGCACAGGACCCAGAATGATAGTAAGTGGATAAAGCACTTGCTTTGCATGAAATTGACCGAGTTTCAATTCCCAGTACCATATATAGTCCCAGAACCCTATATGGTCCTCCAATCACTGCCAGGAATGATCCCAGAGAGTTGAGATAGGACTAAATCCTGACCACCATATGTGGCCTCAAAATAAACAAAATTTAATTAATCTAAATAAAATTAAAATCTTCTGCACAGTGAAGGTCTAATAAAAAAACACTCTACTAAGTGAGAAAAAAAATACTTGTACATAATACATCAGATAAAGGTTTACTATGCAAGATCTATTATGCATTCAAAACACTTAAGAACAACAAAAAATCCAATGATCCCACCCATAAATGGAAGAAGAAGATGAACAGACACTTCCTCAAATAAAACATACAATGGCCAACAATAGGCATGTGAAAAAGTGCCCATCATCACTCATAATTAGGGAAATGCAAATCAGAACAACAATGTGGTATCATCACAGTTCGTGAAAATGGCACAAATTTATCAAACTTAGCTATTGGTAAAGAATTATTATAAGCTACTCAAGTATCAGAGAAAACTAGTTTCATCCATATACAACGTACCAATTATTGGTCAAAGAGAACTGCGGATGAAAATTAAAGAAATGGACACAAATTGCAAGGATGATTTTACCTAGAGATTTTTGTCTCACATACTACTTGAATGCACTACTTAAAATGCTTTTGCAGGACAGGAATTAATACAGCAGGTAGGGTACTTGCCTGCTGTACCCTATTGCACTGGCACCACCTATGTTCTCCCCAGCCCTGCAAGAAGTGATCTCTGTGTGTAGATCCACTGGGAAAGCCCTGAGAACCATGGGGTATGACCCCAAACACACACACACACACACACACACACACACACACACAAATGCTCTTGCAGTAGTGATTCAAAATATTGAACTGCTGGAACTGCTCAGGGAGCAACCAGAAGCTTAGCTGGAGCAGGTACTAGAGGTCTTCTGAAGTGGCTTCTCTGACTTCATAAACTGCTGAATCATGGTGAAGTTCAAGGTCTTATGGAAAGGATCAAAGCATATAGAGAGGAAGGGGATATGGATAGAGGGCAACCCAGGGAAGCAGATATTTACCAAGAAATGTGGAACCATTTTAATACTTAAACATTTTAATACTTAAATCTGATTGTTAGGTTCTGGTCAATTCTTGTCTTTGAATACTGGCAGGCTCTAGAATACCTGGTTGTTATTCATTATTGTAGGGTAAGCGAGAATACAACATACTCAAATGCAAAACTGTGACTTTACAAAACTCAGTTGTGGCAACTAGCAGTGAACATCTTGGAATCTGTTTCCAGGATTCCTGCTTGTACATTCATGTTCCACACGTTCTTCACTCACCTGGTTGCCTTTGATTAAAGAGTTGGCATTCCAGAAACCAGCATCCTTCCTGAACATCACCACCAGGCCAATGTGCTGATATCTGGGTGCCCCCAGAATCAGACTTTGCACCCGGTTCCGCACGATGACTTCAGCAGCGTAACCTGAAAATGACAGTCAAAAAGAAGTTCCTTCCCTCACATCCCCTGCCTCCTCTAGCAAACCGATAAGGGCAGGGCAGCCCAGGCTTGGGAGTGTGAAGCAACTGCACACTTTCTTAACATAGTTAAAATAAAATTTTGAAATTTCTTCTTTTAAAGCTATTGCAAGAACATGGGTCAGGGTGTGGCTCAGAGGCAGACATCTGCCATACATGTATAAATCCCTTAGCTCAATCCCTAGAACCCAAAAAAGAAAAGCTATCCAAAGCACCTACCTATGAAATATTCAATTGATGTCTGCCATACATTCTAGTTAAAATGATATAACCTGTCCCATTCTTAGAATAACCCAGCCCTCTCCACTTACCTAAGTAAGCATCATTCATGTCTGAGTCTATCCTGGTTGTGTTGATGAAGTTGGCTGAATCTTTTGACGTGTACAGAAGGGCTCCACCAGCCCAGTCAAAGCTCCCCACAGTACCTAGCAAGGGACCAGTCTAGGAAATAAGGCAAATTATAATTTAGCAATCTGAGCTTCAGTGACATCTCTAACAAAATTCTAACAAAAATGGTATTTTTCTCAGAAAGAGAGCAAGTAATCCTAAAATCTGTATAGAACCACACACAAATTTTTTTGAATAGCCAAAACAATCTGGAGAGAGAAGAACAAAGTTAGAGGTATCACATTTTCTGACCTCAAGCTATATTACGAAGCTATAGCAATAAAAAAATATATGGCATTGTCTAAATATATGACATATCTATATGTCATAAAGGCAGACATATAGATCAACAGAACAGAAAAGTCATAAATAAAGCCACACTTGTTGAGGCGAGAACAATAATACAGCAGGTAGGGCGTATAATAGAGCAGCCAACCCAAGTTCAGTTTTCAGAACCCCATAATGTCCCCCAGTCCCCAAGTCCCAACTGGAGTAAGCCCTGAGCACAGAGCCAAGAGTAAGCCCTGAGCACCTCTGCGTATGGCAAAAATAAATAAATAAAAATAAAGACAAGCATGTTTAGTCGAACAATTTACAACAAAGAAGTCAAGAACAATGACAGTGTTTTTCAATCAACAGGGGCTGGAGCAATAGCACAGCGGGTAGGGTGTTTGCCTTGCTCGAGGTCGACCTGGGTTCAATTCCTCTCTCCCTCTCGGAGAACTTGGCAAGCTCCCCATGGCATATTTGATATGTCAAAAACAGTAACAACAAGTCTCACAATGGAGACATTATTGGTGCCCACTCGAGCAAATCAATGAACAACGGTAGGACAGTGCTACAGGACAGTGCATGTTGAACAACCAAAAGCAGTAGAATGAAATAGGACCACACTACCTTCTACCAAAATGAATAAAAATAAATTGGGGAGTAAGGGGGGGAGAGGTTGGGCTATACTAGGTGGTGCTCAGGGCTTACTCCTGGATCTACACTCAGGAATCACTCCTGGCAGTGCTCGGGGGCTATAGGACATGCCAGAGATCGAAGCCAGATGAGTTACAAGCAAGGCAAGCACCTTCCCTGCTGTACTACCACTCCGATCCCTGAAAATATTCTTTTTATTTTTTTAAATAAAAATGTTTATTATCACAAATTCAAAATGGATAAGAGCTAAAACCTTAAATATATAAATATATAAGAGCTAAAACTCAAAAATATATAAAGAGTCAGTAAATACCTTGCCATCACTCTTGGCGATTTTTTTTTAACTTGACAACAAAATCAACAAAAAAGAAAAGTGAGAGGGCTGGAGTGATAGCACAGCGGTAGAATGTTTGCCTTGCATGCCGCTGACCTGGGTTCGATTCCCAGCATCCCATATGGTCCCCAAGCACTGCCAGGAGTAATTCCTGAGTGCAGAGCCAGGAGTAACCCCTGTGCATCGCCAGGTATGACCCAAAAAGAAAAAAAAGAAGAAAAGTGACCCAAAAAATGTATTGAATTGAACATGGGTAAGATTGAAACAGGAATTTTTCCAAAGTAGATGTACAGATGGTCAAAACATGTATGAAAAGGCACACAGTATCACTAATCTGAAATGCGAATCAGAGTCACAATGTGAAAACAGCAAACAACAAAAAGTTGCTAAGGGACTAATCTTGAAAAGTTCTCATCAGAATGTCATGTATCAGAAAGACTGGAACTTAGTCCTATACTGAGGTTCTCCTTGCTGGAGAGTTTATTTTTCTTTCCTATCTACTTTCAAGATTGGAAATAATCAGTGCTGGCAGGTATGTGGTAAGAAAGGACCCTCATTGATTCAACTTTTATGGAAAGCAGTATGGAGATTTCTCAAAAATGTAAAAGTACAACTCCCACATGAACCATAAATTCTACTTCTCTGCACCAATCCACAAAACATTCAAACAATAATTCAGAAGGATATACACGCACCCACTGCATCATGTAGAAATGTGCACTGGTGGAGGGATGGGGGTTTGGTCATTGTGTGATTGGAACCCAAATATGAAAACTTATAACTATCTCACAGTGATTCAGTAAAATTTCACTTGATCACTTGATCACTTGACATCCTGTTACTCATCGATTTGCTCGAGTGGGCACCAGTAACATCTCCATTTGTCCCTGTCGCATGCTAGTGTATTCCAATGGTGTCTGCTTGTTTTTGGAACACGAAGGGCCTCAAACCAATCGTTCAGGGTCTTGTCGAAGAAGTATGACTATCTCGAGGGTGGGTGGCCACGTGATCTTTTGATGTCCCGTGGAATCCAGTCAGTAATGGCTCTAGTCCAGTGGTCGTCTCTAAATCTCATTATGTGTTCAGCCCATCTGATTTTCGACACCTTGGCAAACGAGACAGCGTCCCTGATTCTTGATTGTTGATGGAGGTTGGAACTCCGGATTCTTTCTCTCATTAGAGTGAAGTATGATACTCCAAGTATAGCTCTTTCAGTTCCTCTTTGGGAGACCTGAATAGAGTTCTCATCCTGTTTTCAAAGGGCCCAGGTCTCTGAGGCACATGTTAATGCAGGAATAACAGTGGAGTCCAAGAGATGTGCCTGGAGCTGGAGGTTCTTAATCCTCTTAGCTATTTTTTTCAATGCTCTTGAAGGTGTTTCAAGCCACTCTCTTCCTCCTGCGAAACTCAGGTGCCAGGTTATTCGTCATGTTGACTTCTCAACCTAAGTCCACCTAACTGTTGCATTCGGAGATGTTCATTCTGTTGAGAGTGAATGGAATGTCAGGAATGAGACCTTTTCTCATGAACATTGCCTTCGTGAGATTCAGCTGTAGTCTGACCTTTCCACACTCACTGTTGAAGTCAGCCAGCGTTTGTGCTGCTTGGCTAAATGTTTGGTGTTATTAGAACGATGTCATCAGCAAAGCGGAGGTGGTGTAGTTATTGACCATCTGTCTTCACTCCCATTCCTTCCCATTCCAGTTGTCGCATGATGTTCTCAAGGGTGGCTCTGAAGAGTTTCTGTGAAATGGTATCACCCTGCCGAACCCCTCTCTTGACATGGATGATCACTTCCTTGTAGAATGGTGAGATCCTGGTAGTGAATCCATAATACAGCTCACGGAGGATCCTGATGTATTGAGTTTGAATGCCCTGTTTGGCTAGGGCTTTGATGACCACTTAAGTCTCAACAGAATCAAAGACCTTCTTTAAATCAATGAAAGTTAGACACAACAGCATCTTGAACTCCCAAGAAACCTCAATGAGCTTGATTTTCGTATGGATATGGTCGATCGTGCTGAATCTTTTTCAGAACCCAGCTTGCTCGCATGGTTGTCCTTCATCTAGTGTTCTGCCAATCCTATTTAGGATGACTTGAGTGAACAGCTTGTAGACAACAGACAACAGGCAGATCAGGCGATAGTTGCCAATGTCGTGGATGTCTCCCTTCTTGTACAGTAGTACAATCCTGCTCGTTTTCCATTGGGATGGAACCTTGCGTTCAGACAGGTAGCGTGTGAAGATCTGAGCCAGTGTATTGATGAGAACTGGCGGCAGGTTCTTCAGGTGTTCGGGTCTGACCTTGTCTGAGCCAGGTGCTTTTCACTTCTTTACCGACTAAATGGCATTTCAGATTTCGGAAGGGAGAAAGTTGGGAACGACATATCCATCCTATGTGGGCAGGTAGACGTGGCTATCGAAGAGATCCGAGTTGAAGTCATGGATAATCTTCTCCATTGCCTTTCTGGAAGATGTGATAGATCCATCAGGACGCCGGAGGGCAGTCATCTTTTTTTTTCTTTTTTTATTAGTGAAACACCATGAGATACAGTTATAGGCTTACAAATTTTGTGCTTGGGTTTCAGTTATACAATGATCAAGTGCCCATCCCTCCACCAGTGCCCATCATCCATCACCACGGGTCCCATCATCCCCCCCACTCCCCCATCCCCCCCGTCCCATCCTGCCTCTGTGGCAGGGTATTCCCCCTTGTTCTCTCTCTCTTCTTTTGGGTACTGTGTTTTGCAAGAGAGGCATTGAGTGGCAATCATGTTTGGTCTATAGACTACTTTTAGCATGCTTCTTCCACCCTGGGAGGGTCCTCACAACACCCTTCATTTGGTGCTCTCTTCTCTATCTGAGCTTCCTTTTCACCTAGAACGTGTGGCTGGCCTTCCATTCATGGAGCAAAATTCCTGGTACTAATCTCAGCCATTCCTGGGTGTTAGTGTCCCTTTTTGTTGCTTTATGTTCCCCAGATGAATGCAATCTTTCTGTGTCTATCCCGCTCTTTCTGACTCATTTCGCTTAACATGATACTTTCCATGTAATACCACTTGTATGTAAATTTCATAACTTCATCTTTTCTAACAGCTACATAGTACTCCATTGTGTAAATGTACCAAAGTTTCTTTAACCAGTCATCTGCTCTTGGGCACTCAGGTTTTTTCCAGATTCTGGCTATTGTAAAGAGTACTGCAATGAACAAACAATTGCAGATGTCACTTCGACTATACCTTTTTGCCTCTCTGGGATATATTCCCAGGAGTGTTATAGCTGGGTCAAATGGCAGATCAAATTCTAATTTTTTGAGAGTCATCCATACTGTTTTCCAAAAGGGTTGGACCAGCCGGCATTCCCACCAGCAGTGAAGGAGGGTCCCTTTCTCGCCACATCCGCGCCAGCATTGGTTGCTTTTGTTCTTGTGGATGTGGGCCAGTCTCTGTGGTGTGAAATGATATCTCATTGTGGTTTTGATCTGCATCTCTCTGATGATTAGTGATGTAGAGCATTTTCTCATGTGCCTTTTTGCCAGTCGAATTTCTTCTTTGAGAAAGTTTCTGTTCATTTCCTCACCCCATTTTTTTGATGGGGTTGGGTGATTTCTTCTTGTGGAGTTTAACCAGTACCTTGTATATCCTTGATATCAACCCCTTGTCGGATGTGTATTTGGTGAATATCCTTTCCCATTCTGTAGGCTGTCTTTGTATTTTGGTCACTGTTTCTTTTGAGGTGCAGAAGCTTCTTAGTTTAAGATAGTCCCATTTGTCTATCTCTATTTTCACTTGCTCGG